CGGGCACATAATTATGATTATAATTTAAGATTCCAAATCTGACGAATGTATTATTCAATAGCGTATAATGCTGAGTTAGCCAATGCATTGTAATGCGCGCTATTATCCATCATTGAATTGTAACTAGACTTCAATTTGATCCGTAACAAGAGACCACTTATTTTTTTATACGTGTTCATGAATGTGTGTTTGTTCACTGTGTGCGGGGATTAAAAATTAAAGATTAAAGATTCCAGATCTAACGAATGTATTTATAAAATAGCGTAATAGTGCTGGGTTAGCCGATGCCTTGCGATACACGCTTTTATCAATTAATTGAATTGTAACAGGACTTCGATTTCATCCGTAACAAGACAACACTTATTTTTTCTTATACGCGTTCAAAAATATGTGTTTGTGTATTGTGTGCGGGCATTAAAGATTCCAGGTCTGACGAATGTATTTATTAAATAGCATAGGCCTATAGGGCAGGGGTGGCCAACGCATTGCGATACGCACTTTTATCAATTAATCGAATTGAAACAGGACTTCAATTTGATTTGTAACAAGAGACCACTTATTTTTTCTTATTCGTGTTCAAAAATATGTGTTTGTTTACTGTGTGCGGGGATTACAGGGGGACAAGCAGATCCCCTCGACATGTGATCCAGGGTATGGGGATACATTTTTCTCAAAATGCACACAGCTCTGAAATCCTTGACCAGTGATCACTCACCATGGAACTCTTTCTGTTGTGACTGTAGACACAAGTTTCTTCATTATCACATCTGAACGAGCCTATCATTCATGCATTAGAAATCACACTCCCAACACCACACAGAAAATGACTTTGAACATATTCAGGAAACATATGCCAGTTCCACTCTTGTTTACTTTGTTTTGCTTTATTGGCTTTTATGTGTAAACCAATATTTTGAAGCCTTTTCTGCATTTTTGTGTTTTTGGCAGCATGTACAATAGGCCTATGTATTTTATGTGCAACCGACACATTCTCCAATTTCTTGTATTTGTTAGACTCGCATGTGCTTTAAACAAAGCATGTAGTTGTACACACTACTGATGAAAACACAGAGACGAATTCTTAAAGTGAGAAATAATACATTTCCTCAATATAAGCTCAATTTATTTATATCTTTCTAGTAAATTGGAGAAAAGGCTTATATTGTTTGTTTTTTTTGCTTGCTTTGGATGGCCTTAAGTTTAATGACAATATATTATTGCAGTGAGCATGTTACTGTCAGCGTCCCCTTATCGTAGATCTAGTACTAATCAAGACTATATCTAGATATTTTGCCAACAGAATTAATGTTCATAATTAGTGTTATTATCAAGTGTATTGTGATTGTGAAGATCTTTAGTAGATCTAGAGATCTAGATCTATCTAGATCTACGTAAACAAGCTTGAAGTGAACTAGAAGTTGCCGTTTTTACTCCGTTTTATCAATTAGTGTTGTTTATATTTCTGACCATTCATACTCGAAAAGGGGTCAAAATCTAAAAATAGTTGCAAATGAAGAACGTTGAAGCAAAGATACTCCACTTGAGGAGAATCTTTAGTTGAAGCAACGGGGGCATTGAGGTAAAGGTTCTAAAAATAATCCCACTGCTACCCACTAGCAAGGTCCAAATTCCTTTTTCTCGTCACCCAAGCTCACAACAAACCAAACACACCTCCAAAGTAAATAAAAATAAAATATTTATAGTCGATTATAGTTGTTTATTTTAATCTTAAATGAAGCAGAAGATATAACACTTTCAATAGATCCTAAAACCCCTCAAAAATGTCACGGAAAGTCACATTTTTGTCTTTCGAGCCTTGCAGCAGATAATAGCACACTGCATCTTACGACTAATATTGAGCGGGGGAGACAGATATATTATATGTAAATCGATAACTGTTTGCCTTCTGATTACATTATTTACCCCTATTAGCCACTGCTCCATTACAATCGAGGATAGAGTTTACGTGCTGTAACAAACCGCTACGCACTACCATAGAATTACAAAATTCTATCTGACATTTTTTCAGTTTTGAGTTACCAAGACCATGAGGTCAGAAAACAATGTTCTATATGCTCTAACAAAATTGTAAGATTATTTGAAGTCGTTCTCAGGATATTCAAAAAATTGCACTCGAAAAATGTTGCGGTGAAACACATTTTTTAAACGTCAAATTTCTCAGAACTAGGTACTGAGCAGATTGGAATTTGTAATTCTAAGGTAGTGAACTTCCTACAAGAATATAACGTCGTGTGATGACAAATTATGAGCTCAATTAAGCCAATACAAGTTTCTTTTTTAAAGTAGGTTGAAGTGAATGTCTTGAAAGAGTTAATACTCTGCACTTTGTTGCTGCACAATATCTTAAGCCTGTTCACATACATGTATTGCAGATACATCATATGGAGGGTTGGTGGGTGCTCTGGTGTGATTTGCTTCTTCTTTCCTGTCAAACATCTATCGTCCTTACCTTTTCTTTTTTGTGTCTGATACTCTTTTGTAACACCTCTAACCTTCAGCACATATATGACTTATCTGGGTTGCAAGTGCCGTAAAATGTTTACTGAATCAAAGCACCTTTGCTGCCAAATCTTTCTCTTTCACCTTGAGACTGATCTTGAAGTCTTTCACAAATTAAATATCAGCGCCTGCCATCTTTTCTCTTGTCCAGCTGTTGATCCCACTTGAGGTGATGTTCCTCTTTCATGGACATATCTATTCACATATCGTTTGTTCTCATGTTCAGATTTCACAGCTAGTAAAAGCTGTGTGGTGGTTGGTTGGCGGGCGCTCTGGTGTGGTTTGCTAATTCTTTCCTATCAAAATATATCGTCCTTATCTGTCCTTCTTGTATAGATTCTCTACGACTTTAAAAAAAGTAATACCTCTAATTGTTGGCCCTTCTATTCACTATTACCCAGTTGTGCTGTAAGTGCCACAAAACTCTTTCAAAGATAAAAAGAAAGTTGCATTAAACGCGATTGTAAGGTCTTTGTGAATTCATTTATCTCTTTCTCACCTTTGTGCAGTAGTCCCAACTGTAATGCGGGTAAAGAGCTCCTTCAGCCTCAGATGACGTCATTGCTGACTTTTAGGTTCAAGGACCTCACTGGAATATGACTATGATGTTAAGCACTGTACATATTGTATCTTCCTACCTATTGTGCTGGAGGGATCATAATTCCAGAATACAATCAACTTGAGGATTATTTTGTTATGCTCCCGATATTACGATACAAACTGATAGCGTGCCGTATTCAGACGGAAGTTTTCTTTCGTGTTCAAATTTTAATTTTAAAGTAGATCTAATGCACTTCCGGCGCGGGGTGAACATTTTCCCGGAAGCTATCTGTAGCTGTTCACAAACTGGGCAGGCAGGGAGGTGCTCTGAGTTCAACACACAAAGGAGCGTAAGTTACACTAATTTAGTTTCTCCTGTTTGCATTTCACAATCAAGATAAGGTTTTGGTTTTGCTCTGCAATGTCATGGCAAGCTATTTGACTTATTTGATGGTTTAAATCACTCCATTTCATATGTTTATTGCCTTTCAAGACATTGAGAATTGATTTGATTAAATCTTCTCAGAATATCAGGGGATTGAGGGATGATTGATTTTGAAGTCTTTTTATTTTGGTGTGTTATTGGCTCTCTTCCTTTCTGTCATTAGTTCTAAGATTTCTTCAGTTATCCATGGTTTATTGGTTGTCTGATTATTTCAATGTTTATCTGTGTCTATTATGTTTAGTATATAGGCATATGATCTAGATCTATGCTGTAAAATTGACCGATTAAGTATTGTATGTACTGTCGTTATATCTATCTATCTATCCATCCATCCTTCTATCCATCCATCCATCCATCCATCCATCCATCCATCCATCCATCCATCCATCCATCTATCTACCCATCCATCCACCTATCAATCTATCTATCCATCTATCTATTGAGAGCTGTAATTCGTCGCTCATGCGCCAGTGGGGCTGCCAATATTGAGAAGGCATTGCCTCTGGCGATAGCCAGAGAGATTCTCTCTAACAACCACCTCATCTCCTGTGGGTCACCTGTGGCGTTTGTTAACCGACGACCAACTTTCTGGAAGAACTGGGTCGTCAGGGGACCGAGAGCGCCGGATGTTTCGACGGCCACTGGGATGAAGTGGTAGCGGTCGCTGAGGCCTGCATACTTTCTAATCTGCCTTCTTGGCGATACTGCCGGGAGCAGAGGCAGAGGAGGTGAAGAACATCGGTGAGAACGAGTCGGAGCATGTGGCGTCCCACACGAGACATTTGCCACCCTCGAAAGGAAAGATGGTGATGCCATCCAGCCTTTTGCCCAATCGAATGTTGTTTTGAATGTTGTTCTACCTAATTCACACACTTTAAATAATTTAGTAGGCTGGTTGCTTCTAGCCTGCCTATTTGGGCTTACTCTAGCTAAGCGACGTACACCATTCCAGAAGACAGATACTCTCGATACAATCGCTGCCCCTTGGGAAAACCTAACTTATGACTTTTGCCAAGGCCGTTGTCTCAGGATTTAGATATATACTAAGTATGGGTTCAGGGCAGACTGAGTTCAATGAAAAAATAATGTCTCCTCTTGGAGAAGCAGAATACAGAGGATAATTTACCCTTACACATGTTACAGGTGGAAGAAATTTAACATGTCATACATGCATTTGGGTGATAGTTGGGTGACCTTTATATCAAGTCCTACATCTGTTGCCCTATGTTGTCTTCTATATGTCCATTTTGCTTATTCTGTCACAAAACGGCTGCCATCGTGTGGTTAAGCTTCTGTGTACAAGAGAATGAAACCATATAAAAACCACTACAGCTTTCATAGAAATCTTTCATCATCCGAGCTGTTTTACCTTTTAGAATGGTCTTTAAACGAGTACTATAGCAATTTACTCTCACAGAACGATAGTCACAGATATATGGGAGCCAGGTAACGTTGGGCAAGCTGATAGTTCAAGTGATACCGTGCTGGACTTCAGTGCATCAGACAGTTGTGATTCGCATTCTCCATCATCGGTACGTTCGTAAACTCGGTTTTCTAGGGGGAAAGGGGGGGGGGGGTCAAGGCTGTCCTCCAGCTTGGCTGAGTTCCTTTAGAGATGGATGATGTTTAGGCTACCAGGCTCCCAATCGTGAGGTTGCGGGTTCGGGGGTTCGAGCCGCGGGCCCGACATCATGTCCTTGTAAGTATGTTGTTAGTGTTTTAGCGCTCATATATGGCAGCTTCCACTGTATGCTTCCCAGGAAGTTAAGTTTCTTACAGAATGCTCTCAGGTCTGCTGGGGTAGTAGTACAGATTGTAAAGCGCATAGAGCTTGCTGTTGAGCGGGGATTTGCGCTATGCAAAATATGCTATTTATTATTTTTATAACGTTCAATCTCTCAACCAGCCTTACACGCAATGTTGAAATGGGCGTTTTACACTCACCTTTTCATTTTTTTAAAAGTATCACAGGACTTGAAAACATGTTAGGTTGTATAAGTGCCGAAGATTAGAGGAGAGATAAGGATGGCCCCTGTTTGATAGAAAAGAAGGAGCAAACCATACCAGAACACCCACCAACCACAAACTCTCACCATTTCAATAAAATTATATGAAGGCCTTCCCCTGAGTTCCAACCAAGACACATCACAACCGCACTAGTGTAAATGGAGTTTGATGGAGCTACAGTCTGCAGTGAGTCGAAACGTTAAATGATCTTAGAGTGCTTTTAGTTAAGACAAAACCATATCACACTTGCAGTGTTTTTAGTTAAGATAAAACCATATCACGTTATCTGAGTTCTTTGCTGATCTTTAGGCAAAAACTTTAAAACGTTCAAAAATTCTCTTCAATGAAAGAATATCCCTTGCACACTGGGCCAATAAAACGGTAAGACACCCTTACACTTTCTTTGATTCCAAACGAATTGGCTATATTTCTCTTCTGGGGGCATATCAAAGAAGTCAAGATCTGAAGGGAGGGGAGAGGTACTTGGGCAATCTACTTCATGCATATTTATTAAGATCGTCTGTGAAGAGGAAAAAAGGCCATCGAGAGATGCTGACCTCTGACCCTCAGGAAATGGAGGCCGAGCGTCCGCAGGGCTACAGAGAGTACCAGAGCGGCGACACTTCCTGGGATGCTCTGGGCATGCGCATAAAGTGGACAGTCCCAGAAGTGCCGGGGGAATCGGTGGTGCACATGCTAGACCCTTTGTGCTTCAAGGTTAAAAATACCGTGTTGTTGCGAGGAATATTATTGGAGTTGCAGTTGTAAATGTTATTACTGTCGTCGTTGAATCTGTTGTTGTTTTTATTGCTGTTGTTACTGCTGCTGCTGCTACTGTTGCTGCTGTTGTTGTTGTTATTGTTGTTGTTGTTGTTGTTGTTGCTGCTGTTACCGATACAGTTGGGGGATTTTTTTGTTGATGTAGTGGGGAGTATTATTTTTCTGTTTATGTTGTAATTGTTACTAGAATCTATCTTTGGTGTTGTTGTTCCAGTTGTTCGTATATTGTTGCTGCCTTTTTCATATTACTGTCCTCGAATGCTGCTAGCATTGCCACTGATGTTGTCATACTGAAAGGACAACCACACATCATCGCTAGTGTCGTGACTCTGGATGACCCGAGGTATCGGCGCTATTGGATCGGATGTTGTCTCTGAAGTTCTGAACTTCTTTTGATGAAAATGTAGTTTTGTTACTTTATTATGGTAATTGGCTGTAACACAGACTAAGGATTTTTTCCCTTTCATTTATATTGTGCTGCTGTGTGTGATATGCTACACGGGTTTTTTCTTATGTGATGATGATGACGATGATGAGAGGAGGAGGAGGAGGAGGAGGGGGAGGAGGAGGAGGAGGAGGAGGAGGAGCAGGAGGAGGAGCAGGAACAGAAGGCTTCCAATTATTACGCACTCTGACAGATATTGACCTACTAGTGTTGTGTTTTCTTTTCGGCCTGTAACTTCCTAATCTGAGGAGCAACATTAGTGCACTGTGACTAAAACTGTTACACTAAGGCGCGTCGATGGCTCAGATTGTATCATACTGAGCTATGATGCGGGTAACCCTGGCTCGAATGCCAACAGGGTGTTCTTGAATTTGGATTGTTGAGGAGATTTTGGGGTTCTCCACCTACTTCGCATCGTCATATTGGAGATGGGGTTTACTTTCGGAGGTGTTGTATAATCAATAACTGTACAGTGTTGAAAGGGGTGTATGGCACAGCACAGCATGGCACAGTATAGCAGAGCCCAGCACACCATAGCACAATGTAGCACAGCCCAACGCAATAACACAAAACACAGATTAGCGCAAAGAAGGGCACAACATAGCGCTGCGTTGCACAGCACACAGCACAGCACAACACAACAAAGCATAGCGTCGACATTGTCCTTGTGTCCACAGCTGTGTCTGGAGTGCAAGAAGCCCGTCCCCCTGCGTGATGTCAGCGCCTGGGCCTGGACATGTCTCTACCACACGGTTAGTCTACTCCGCCTCTCAACCTGTTATGCTAAAAAGGCCGTTCAAAAGCAGTCAAATCTGCTCTTACGGTCCTCTGTCTAAGACAATCAGCTGTGCAAAAGACCACTTTCAATGCACACACCCCCAATCCCCTTTGAGTTTGTTTTTTTGGTCTACATTATAGTCCAAAATGTCCATCTGTCTATGACAGCCACTTCTCTCCTCGACAATTGGTAGCTGTCTTTGACAATTTCGACTGTATTACAATTCTCAGTCCGTGGGAATGCTGAGCAAGCATTACAGAGTTCCGGAATCTACATGAACATTTCAACCCGTATCTTTGAGAGAAGCGATATTGGAAGGCTGGTCTCTTAACCTCTAGAACTCTTTTCTACTTCATGTATCTTATGATAAGTCCTAAAAATCAATTTTAATTCCTAGGGATGGGCAATAACAGCTGTTATATGAACATTATCTAATCTCATCTCATATTATGTCCCCTTATTTCATCACATCTGCTGTTTGATTGGAGGGAACCGTAGGTACGCGTTTTCTATCTTTTGTTGCTATGTCCGTACGTCGTCTCGTTCAAACTGACAGTTAAGTTGTCAAGGTTATTCTTGTTATTCATGTAAAAAGTGAATGTCATCCACGAACCCCACCCCTCCCGACAAAAGAGTAA